TGCACCATGGATGAGCTGGTTTAGGCAATTGTTTTCAGGTTTTGTTGGGCCTGTTGAGTGCGTGGTGCTAGCCCCCATCTGGGAATTCTCTCTGCAGAGAAAAGAGCAAAAGTGTTATGCCGTGATGCCATATCTGCTCCCACCTTCCCTGTGGGAAGGAACTGTGTGTACGTGTCCTTGTCAACACAGCCCTGAGGCAGAGGAGTGGGAGAGCTCGCTGAGTGCAATTAAACATGGTGCAGCGTGCTGGGCACACAGAACACCAATGCTATTTAAGTAAACTACATCTCCAAGCTTATAGATGGATGAGCAGATTCCCCCAGGGCTTCTTAGGGTTTGCGCTTGCATGCTTGCCATCAAGTCACTACAGTATTGCCATTTTAAAGATAAAAGTATTGATGCTTTGCTGGCCTTGCGTTGCAATTAAAAGGGTAAAATAAAATGTCATGGGTTATTCCTAGGCTTGGACTCCTCCTAGGACCAAAGAGTAGCTTTTGGGCTGTAGTGATCTTTAGGCTGTCTGCTTAGTGCAGGGGTCCTTCTTGCAAGGAAGTGCTTGAAAATATGGGTCCCTGGGGACCTGGAATTCCTCCTGCCGTCTTAAACAGCATTTGCATGCTAGCCAAAGTGGAAAGTCCAGCAGCAGTGATATCACATAGAGGCAGGTGCGGAGCTGCAAGTCCTAGAGAAGGAGTTTTCCAGTGAAGGAAGAGAGCAGGAATTGATGTCATGCATCCTGCGGATCAGGATGTATTACAAGCAGTAATGCAATTCATACAAATGCCCCAGAAGAAGACATCTATACTGCGTAGTTAACCAGGGTACATAAAACCTTAACTCAGGACAGATCCACTCCAGTAATGGGTAGTCCCAGAGTTATTTTTCAAAGAACATAATGTAATAACAGCGGTCTCTTTTATTTTTTTTTATTTCTTTTTTTTTCCCCCCCATCTTCTACTAGGAAGTGCTGTTGTGGGAATGGGAGGAAAACAGTCCTTCAAAGTCATTTATGTGTCAGCTATGAAGTGAATGAGGCACAACCGTGAAATGAATTGAAACTTGTGCTGCAGCTGATCAGCCTTTCACTCGTCATCTTCCCCTTTGGGATGAAAGGCAGTGTCTGAAATAGGAAAGGAAGGGGACAGAGTCCAAGCAGAGATTTTTTTTGTCCCAATTTTTGCCATCTCCCAGCTCCATCCTGTTGGCCTGCAGGTGGGAAAGTTGCTGAGAACACCGCAGGAAAGTGCAATTATTTATAACTGAGGATAAATTAGGCCTCTACAACTTAAGGTGAATGAAAATTAATGTAGGGCTGAGCATGGTAAGATTGAATTAGGATGGTCTTTTTTCATTGTATCTTAGCGGTGAGATTAAAGTGTGCAGGACCCCTGTGTTATGCTCTTAGGCCTGGGACTACCTGATGTCGTAAAACACAGTGACACAAATATTGCTCATTTGTGCCACTATAAACTTAACTTTATAGTGGTACAATCAGTACTACCGTTTATACTATCTAAGCTCAGCATTACTAATTGTATCACTATAAAGCTATTTTATAGTCAAATAAACAGTACGAATAATGCTGTCAGGCACTGGTATTAATGCTGCAAATAAACCCACAAATGCATGATGTGGATATCTTTTTACGGTGCTAATATGCAAACACGAGGGGCCAGCTCACCCTTGCAGTCCATGAGCTTGTGTCCCTTAAGTTTTATCTCCAAAGAGGAGATAAGGAGGTGCCCTTGCCCCTTCCTTGGGTTGAGACCTGTATGGCCACATTTGCTTTTCCTCACTGTCCAGCTATTGCCTCACCAACCATGGACATGCAGTGAGAACCCATCTATGGATAGGTCATGCTCTGGAATTTCAAGGGAAATTCTTGTTTTGCCACAAATTTTCTGCTAATTTGCAACTCTTGGTCATAAATTCAGTAAAAAGAGTACCCAAAGGCCAAGGTAAGTTGTATCCATCCAGCAGTAGAGGCAGTGGAAAGGAGGTGGATGATCATTTTCTGCTTTGAGGCTCAGGGATGAATGATACACTTGTATGTGCAGTGTGATCACGCAAATGTTTTTTTTCTGTAGAAAATCATGATTAAGGAGTATTTTTTAATTTTTTTTTTAATAACCTGACACAGGGAGGTCTGCTGCAGATGTTGATTGAGCTTGCAGGAATCAATAGGCCAACCATCTGCATCTCAAGTGTTACTTGAGCTTAGAACCGAAGGACAGAGGACTTGCTAAGGAGCTTCAGTATCTCTGAAAGAAACACCATGCTTATTTAAAACCTTGCCCAGCCCTCTGCACAAAGGAGAGCAAAAGTGGAGCTTTGTAGCATCGTGTGGGAGTCTCTGCAAAGCCTGTGGTAGAAAGGAAGTATTTTATAAGTCTCTCCTTGGAAAATGGTATCTGCTTCTAGACCAAATCTATTTGCCACAGTTTTATATGTTGCATATTTTAAAATTTGATGAATATAATAAAGCTAAAAGCAATATCATTTTATGCCTCAATTCATAAAAAGTCAATTTATTCTTCATAATTAACTTTGTTAAAAATAAGAAACTATGCATTGACAGGAATATGTGTAATCTATCGATTTTAAAACCAGCTGAAAGGCACATCATAAAGCTTGCCTGTATGTTTTAGGTGTTGTGCTTTTACATTAGCCACCTTAGTTTTCCATTTCTTGTAAAATAAAGTTAAGAGATGCCCTCTCTGTACCATTTAGTCCCTGATACAATAATGAAGCACTTTAAGGGTAAAAAATTCAGTTTTGTCTTCTGAAACTAGTGGTGGTGCTTTGCTTTGACATTAATATGGATATCCAGAGTCAGGTCTAGATTTGATGCCCAAGATTTCTGGTCTGATTTGAAGGTGTTGAGTTCTTTAGACTGGCGGCAGGATCTTCATCCATTCAAAAAGATGAATATTGTACAATTAAAAATGTTGCCTCATTAGGGGAAAAGAAGAAGGTCAGGTGCAAATAAAACCACCAGCCACCCACTCAAATAGTTCTGGCATCAAGCTAATGTTTTGTAGGCCAACAGTCATAAGCCAGAGTGAAATATTCAGCCAGCCTTGATAGCAGCAGACGATTACAGGAGATCAAGGGCAGAAGGCAATTCATGTACTGGGAATCCAGATAGGTCTTGGCAGTGACTCCTCAGCTACATATATTGACGTTAGTTGCCAGGCATACTGCACATGAATGACCTGGAGACTCTATTAACAGCCTTTGGTTCTGGAAAATAAGCGGTTCTGCTACTTGAGCTTTAGTGAAAACTGTCTTTCTTTAAAGGCTTGTAAAGGGAAATATGCAAAGAAGGAGCAGAGTCAGCTTCTGGGCTTCTCAGATATATTCCCGTGTTTCTGTTTGTTTGTTTTAAATAAGGTCTTTCTAGCTGATGTAATTGTAAAGAAACCCTTGAAAACATGACCCGAAGGTAGCCAATGCAATTATACATGCTTGAGTATGCCAAGAGCCTGAAGCACTGGCTGTGAGAATAAATAGCCCCTTTCAGCTCCGCATATTAACTCAGATGCCAGTGATGACACTTCAAATGTCAACAGTGCTAGCTGCTTCCTTGCTTGTTGAAGCATGGAGAGGAGAAGAGGGATGCAAAGGTCTGTGTGACCTACTCCAAATGAAAACACTCGCTTGAATGTGATGGGAGAAGCGGTGTCTGGTAGACATCCCTGCTTACCATCTTTCTTGGAAGGAGGGAAGCTGAGACTTCACTGCTTGGCGAGATATTGAGGTCTAGTGAAGGTGAAGCCAAAGCAAAAGAGGCCCAAGAGATGCTGTGACACATTTTGGACATTCAAGCAGACTGCACAGAACATCCTTAGTCTGATTCCTTGGGTGAAGCCTTGTTTGCTTAGTTTGAGCAGCTACCCCTTGCTCTGCAGTTTAACCTCTTTTTCTCCATCACCCATAACTCAACTTCTCCTTTCTGTAGATCCAAGCACAAAACCCCAGCAACACTAAGCTGGCCATTCTCTTTCCAGCTTGAGGATGGGTCATGTCGTGTGCAATAGAGCCACTTAGCACAGCCAACACATTTCATCCTTGGGGCTGACTCTGCTACCTTGGTTTCCTCATGGTGCTCCATCCACATGGCTATTGATTGCAGTGATTCTTGGCCCTCCTTCTGGCAACTCTCTTAACCTGCTTGTCCTCACACGTCTCTTGTTCGCTTACTGTCTCAGTTGTTTTACTCAGTCCTTGTTGGCAATGTTGTTGGAGGATCTCTCCCAAGCCAGATATTGAGTTGTGTCTAGTTGTCCTTCTAAGTGCAGTGAATCTGTCCACATCTCCCAAGCTCCTTGTGCAATCCTTTGCCACTGCATGATCCAGGAACCCTTTTGCACTGCTTGATGTTGGAGACAGCCAAGTTCTGGAAAGAGATGGCAGCTGCATGGGAGGCAGCAGACCAGAGCTATGCAATGAGTTGTTGAAGATCTCTGGAGCCCCCAAAGCTGCCTGTGCCCATTGTCATACCCCCACACATGGGTTTGAGCCTTTGTGTCTTATGGGGATGTCTGGTCTCGGAGGAAAGGGGTGACCTTCTGCAGCTTCATATAGGCTTCCACCATCTCCATATGATGAACAATTTTTTTCCATGTGAGGGCTGATATTCGACATTTTTACCAGCCCAGCGCCTCATATATTGAAGGAGTCAAAGCTAGGAAAAATAAAGCAATCAAAAAGATAAAGTAGTTTATTAAACTAGACAGTGAATGACTGAACAAGGGCAACTGTGGTCTACAGCTTGAGAGTAATGAAGTGTAAGGGTCCTGGGTTGTTTGGCTGCGATCTGGGTGTGTTCAGCTTTGAAAGGACATGGGGATTAAGGAAAAGACAGGTTATGATCATGAATATGCAAGATATCAATAAGAGATAATATTAACATCTTGTTCAGGGTGGCATTGCAGGAAATATCTTTGTCTTGATCTGTGGGAAAGTGAACTAACTAAATCTTTTTTTTTTTTTTTTAGCCTACATGAGGTGTGAAGGTTGTCTCTCCTCTTCTAATTGATATAAAGCTCGTGCCTCATTTCTTCTCAAGGTAAATTTGAAGGTCTTTTAATTTCATCTTTAGATTTCTTTTTTTTTCTTAGCTGAGAGGGGTCTCAGTTCTATAATAGATATTTTTGTTCTACCAGTTCTGGGACGTGAAGGACTGTGACCAGTTTTCATGTATGTGCTTCCAGCAGACCTTTAAGCAATTGGCCATGCCTCTGTCACGTGAGGTTTGCATTGGTTAGTTCCTTAGTCTCTTTTACCCAAAAAGAGATCATACAGGTGATCTTGTTGGTCTGGGAAGCAGCCACCCTGCCACCAAAGCATGGCTCTTGTAGGATTATCGAGCCTTATCAAGCAGCTGGAGAAAGCTCTGGGTTTTGCTGTTATACAGCTGGGTACACGAGCATTTCACTCTTTTTCTGTACCAAACCAAGTAAGGACAGCCAAAGGAAATCTGTTTGAGTTGTTACAAGCTGGCTCATGAGCCACACAAGGATGTAACATGTAGTATACAAATACTGTGCACAGTGTGACCCCAACTTATTTTTAGACAGGCTGTTTTGCAGGAGTCAGGAACTGTGAGAGGATGTGAAAACAAACCTAATGTCTCCTAGTATCAGCTAGGATTGTCAAGGACCTTTGCAAGTTCCTTGCAGCCCTGTAAAGAGCAAACAAACATAATCACAGCTCCACATCCATTTTTTCCTCAGAGATTTCTCAGCTCTGAGTCAGCTTAGCATGCCGCTAGGCTGTCTGCTTGCGTTGGCACCAGACCATCAGAGCCCTTGCTTCTTTCAAATGCTGACAGTAACACACTGCCACAGAGAAGCAGTTTCCATGGAGCAGAAAACTCAGCTCAAAAAGCACATTTTGTATGTGTATCGACACAGCAGCAAACTTGGGTTCGATGAGGTAGATGGTGGAGCTTCCATCTGGCGCGTGAGGTTGGGGCTGCCAAGCCAGCAAAGTTGCCTGTGGGTTTTGGATATTGGTCTTACAAGGACAAAGCATTAACAACTGAGACTTTTCCAAGTTTTCCAGGGCTTTTGGGATTCTTGCATGATTTCGTTCATTTGCCTGTGAAGAGGGAGGTCTTCATTGTACCTTGCTATGATTTTCTTTTAAAACTGGTTACAAATGCAAAGGTAGCCTCTAAGGGTATTTATTGCTGTACCGAGTACAAAGATTCAGTTATTTTGGGCTATTCTCCTTGGACATAATGTTAAGGGTCTGGCAAAGAGTTCAGGTTGAGTTGCAGTGATTGCAGACTGGAAAATGGGAAATAGTTGGAATTCTAGTAACAGGAAGGATCCCTTTCCTGTAGGATGAAAGAGTCAGATGGATGTGCAAAGGAAGACGGCTTCTTTGATTTCATCCAGATCAAGAGTTCCCTATAAGAGACTCTTTGACTCCCTCTGTCCTGCATGCATCTTAGCATGCAGATTGGAGGACATTTTAAAGAATTTCACAGACATTTATTGTTTGACTGCTTTTTCCTTGCAAATTTGAAGTTGGATAACTTTATCTCCAAGAGCCCCAAAATACCTTAAAAAGACAACCAGAGCAATACATCCTATGTGGCGATTTTTACCAGGTTCAGGTCAAAAGATTGAAGAACATAAGTCTCAATGGGCGCAGAAATTCCAATGATGAAAGAGGGTCTGACTTGGTCTTCACATCATGATGCTTGACAGCATGTGCTTTTATATATCCCTATTCACTCATGTAGCAATGCAAGGGGTTTTGTGTGCAAAGGGCCTCTGTTCCTCAAGGACCCAGGACTATGGCCAGAGAGAATACCCAGGAGATGCTGTTTTTTGGTGAAACAGCTAAAATCTCCTTTCCCAGGGCACTGTGCATCTGTGGCTTTCCAAATGCAAACTAACCAACCATACACTGAAACTAACCCAGCGCATGAGCCAAATGAATCAATAGAAATATTTTCCAAGGCTGGAAATACAGATTTCACTGTTGAAACATAGGGCAGTTCATGCTCTGCTCGAGTCAGCAGGGCTGCTTGGGTAAGATAATCTGAATTTTCTGCTTGTTATGTTTAAAGTAATGTGACAGCAGTGTAAGTCAGTGAATTTCAGAAAGGTGATGATGTCTCCCACATCTAATGCTGGACCACCCTGGGCCTGGAATCTACTTCTCTTTCCATGCCAGGTGTCTGAGGTCAGAGTGCTTGATCTTTACTGAAAAGGCTTTTCTCAAAATCCTCTAGCTCTATTTTTCTGTTCCAATGATTCTATTGATTTCCATTGATTTGAGTCATGGCTGTATAAAACCAAGGCAAAGCAGGGGGACGAATCCAGCTCTTTGCAGGGAGACTGTTTTAATTACAAAACACAACAATATTTTCAAGGGGACTTAAGGGAAACTATGTGCTCTTTGCAGAAGGCGGATGTCCAAGATGTGGTGTTTTGTTTGCTCACCTTGTATATTATTGAAGCTTAAGTTGTTTATTAGTACTGAAAACCTTCAAACTAATAGTAGAAAAATGGTTAAAAAGTAGTAGTAGATGGTTAAAAAGTATAGTTAAATGGTTAAAAATGGTAAAATGGTTAACAGTGTGGTAAAATGGTTAAAAAGTAGTAGAAAAATGGAAAAATTTAGAGCAGCTATACAGCTGATCTAGCATGGATGAGCAGTGGGAGATGGGCAGCGTTAGCAGCTCGCCTGTTCTCTGTGTAAACAGGGTATTTCAGCCTTACTCTTTTGCAAGAATCTCTTAGCTCAGTAGTTATGTCAATGACATCTGAGATGGAAAGTGTTTTGCTGACAAGATCATTAAAATTTCAGTGTATTGTTTAAGAATCAATAAACAAGTATTCAGAATAGCTTTCTTAAGCTGAGTGCTCAGCCGGGTTAAGAATGAGCTTCCACATCCCTGCATCTTGTTCAGATCAAGGCTCTTTCCTTCTCCTTGAATAAATCTATTCAATTAGTTGATGAGATTTTGATTTCTCTCTTCTTCCCCTACCTTTTAATAGCAGTTTAATGTATGACTAATCAAACAGTAACTAGCATGCTGTCTGCCCCCATCAAAATAGGTTATCTGCTGTCTGTGTAGAGATTTATCCTAAGAATGCAAGGAGCAAAATTGTAGGATTGTGCATGTGATTTTTTTTTTTAAGAGCATTAACATAACATAGCTGTGTTTGTCTCCTGGCTTTTGCTTCCTGTGGTTTTACAATACACTGTCATGCTAACCAAGCTGAGCTGCACGTGAGAAAATAGCTTTATCCCTTTCAAATATCCATCTCTTACAAATGCTCCTGCAAAAGGATGGCTCTTGGAACATCTCCCAAAATAACAGCTATCAGCTCTGTCATGTTTGAAAGGGAAGTAATTTTAGATTTAAATTCCTTTCAGAGCAGATATTCCTCCTGTGTCCCCCAGGGTAGTTCGTGATGATCTGTGCTGCTGAGGAAAGGACCTAAAAAAGATGATGGACCTGATCCTGCCCTTGAGCCCACGTAGATCAGAAGCTGGGCCAGCAGGATTTGCTGGGTTATAGGAGTTTATGAAAAGAGGAGAATCCAATGGATGGCCTATAATCATGATGATTTATTGATATTACAGTTACATGTTTAGTCTGCATTTGGGTTCAGGGATCTATTTCCACCTTGTCCAGGCTTAGAATGAGAAACAAGTGAATGGTTGTAGTAGCTTCAAGGATTGTAGTTGCTCAGGGAGTACAGAGTCTGCTTTGAAGTAAAAACATGCCATTTTAAGGAAGTTCCTCTGCTTGTGAGTTGACCCAACAGCAATGGGAGCTCATGCTGCCGTGCAACTATCTGTTGCTGGTCTTCATCACTGCACCACGCCAGCAAGGACCTTCATCCCCATGGAGCTGAAAGGAGAGGGTGTGATCCCAAGATTAAAAGAGCGCCCTTGATAGAGGACTTGTTAATACTTCCCCTTGATGAAGGAGGCTCTCTTGCTTTGGTGGTTCAAACTACTGATTGACTGAAGGATGAAGAGCAGAATCTCTCTGAAGGATCCCAACGCTATGATAAAGTGGGAAGTTTTCCACTCCAATTCCATCCCTATGCTGTGCTTAACAAGATCCCTTTGATGTTCCTAGTCCTTGTCAAGTATTTTTATTATTTTTTATTTTACTTTTTTATTTTTATTTTATGTTTTATATTTTTATTTTTTATTTGCCCTCAGTTATTGAGGAGAAAACATCCTATGTTTCTTTTTCTCAAAACTTAGGGAAAAAAAATAGCTGGATTTGGGAGATCCTGCATAAAAAATACAACACGAGGATTTTGTGAGTGAATTTGAAAGGGTGACAGAGATTCTGAGGAAGTGGTGGCATGAAATGTTCAACATCAGTGTTCTTGATTATGGAGGAAGGAATAATTTTCCTCTTCATGAAGCCCTCAACTTTCTTTATGGAAGTGGGAAGGCTAGAGTCTCCCGAGACATGATGGAAGTGATGCCTCTACAAAGGCCTGGCTGGGCTGAGAGGAAGGGAAGGAGCTGAGCTCTGTGGATGAGCTCCTGCTTTTGCTTGATGCCGATTTCAGCAGAGCTGACATGTGACCTCTCAGAGCTGGTAGGTCACGTAGTCCATCCCACAGCCCAATGGCAGAATCAGTTCAATCTAAACAGCTCCAGGGAAAGGCTCATATTAAAAGCTTGCAGAGTGGCTGTCAACTTTACGAGGGAATTTTCATCTATCTGTAGATATGTAAGTCAATGACTGCCCACAGCTAAAATTGATTTAAATCAAAACTGCATGAAGATTGTCTGCACAGAGCAGCCTGGAGAGCAAAGGCACGTATATTTCTGAGCAATCACTGCCCAAAGTCGAAGAGAAGCCCTGCTCTGCTTCGGTGGCAATTTTGTATGGTAGGGAGACAAGCAGGCAACATGTCCTTTGGTTCAATAGCTCTGCAGGTTTTGGGGAGCAATGCAGTGAGAAGTTTACTCCTTAGACTGTCTTTATTAGTTATTTTCTCTACTTCTTTTGCTTTCCCCTCTCTTCACCTGCTCTTTTCATAGTCTTCCTTGCAACTGCCCCACCACTTTCCTGATTTTGCATGGACTAGCTGAAGTGGTGGCTATGTGTAAGAGTGTGAGCATGATCAAGGTACGTCCCCACATGGCGTGCTGTGAATCCAGCCATCTGATCCAAGAGATGTTTTTTGAAGATTTAAAACATAGACAACAAATCATCCTTCATTTTGGACCAATGGACTGAATTGTCTGGCTGCCTGCAAAAACATCCCTATGAAAATGTGCTTGAAAAGTAAGTGGAAAATAAGACATTTCAGCTGGAGAATGATCAGAAGGGATGAAAGAGCATCTTATAAAATGCTGGCTCAGAGAATGGGGCCAGAGACTTAAACTTACTCTCTCTTCTATGCAATCAGAAAAATTGGTGTTAAATTGTAAGGCCAACTATTTAGAGCTAATCAGATGACTTGACTGTTAGGGAGGTAACTAGTGGAACAAGAAATTATTGAATCAATAACATATTAGGACTGGCTATTTTGCAGGTGTTGAGAACATTCGCAATGATGTCAGAGATGCTCTAAGAATAACAAGTAGACTCATTCACACTTAAGAATATAAGGCTCCTATAGATAATTAGGGGCATCACCTCTTCACTTTTTAGGCAAGCTATCTTATGGTTTTTTTAAGAGGATTTTGCCCATCTATCTTTGTGGTAGCTGGTACAAGCCTTTTTAAGAAGCAAAATGCTTCATTAGAAATCTCTCTGCCTTGTTGCAGGATTATATTTCTAATGATCTTTGCTTCTCTGAATTTCACACAAGGTCAAATTTGGCCCTTCTTGGAAATGATACTACCATCAAAATGATGATGCTACCATCAAAATTTGAAAATTATCCTTTGCTAAATGTTATTTCTGTAGTAAAAATATGACTTTGCTAGGTTGTCTACTACTCCAGTGTCATTCCTGGTAGCACACACTTGTAGCAACAGAGCAAAACTGAAGCGTGAAGGAGGCCAGACCTTGCACCCAATGTCCAGTGTTGTGCATTAAATTGGTTTACGCTCTTGGTTGTAACTTACTGATTCCTTTATCACATTGCTCCTATCAAAATAGCATTAGAGTATTGCAGTTGTTGCAGCACTGTGTTCCCAACTCCAGACCTAAAAATTCTCTTTGAGAACTGTTTACCAAAACGTCTCTATGACAGACGTGGAGAGGAATTGCAAGGGAGTTGTGACAGCAATTGCTTTTACTTTGTCTAGCCTAAATCATCATCATCATTGCAAGCAATAGCTTGGAAAGTTGTTTGTCTTGCTCGCCCATCATGACTGATGCTCGATATCTTGAAGGGCTTTGTGGTCAAATGCAAGGTTGTCTATAGAGCTGAGCTGTGCTTGGCATGCTGCAGCAATCAAGGAGTAATGAAACGTTAATAGATGGTTCTCTATGTGTTTATTTTATTTTTTTTTTCAAAGCAGAATTTGTTCCCATTGCTTCGAAGCAAAGGGGCATGCCTCTACAAACTGGAGGAGTTACAGGAGCTGGAAGCTCACCTGGCTTCATGGTGTTAGGTACGTTGCTTGCATCCTCTTCCTCCCTTGCATCCATGCTCAAAACTGCTTGTGCCTGCTTGCCACCAGAACCCTCTTAGTAACATGTGAGAGTGTCAGGCACAGCTGGGTCTCCTTGGGCAGTGGTTGAGCAGTTCTCAATTCGAGCGACTTCATTGCAGCAAGGTGACAACAACCAAGTTGGCATTAAATTCAACCACTTTGCATTAAGTTTTGCTATCAGAGAGGAGAGGCAAATCATCTCCCCAGCCTGTACATGAGTTTCCCTGTCTGAAAAGAGGGATGGTCTCAGGGCTCTCTAAGATGCTCCTGGAGATGTACGAGCAGCTAAGAGTCATTGCATTTACCATCTCTTACGATGACACTTCAGAGAGAGGCAAATAGGCCCAAAAACATCTCTAATGTGGCAATATTGGCCTCAGGCACTTAACCTGTGTTTTAACACTCCAGCTCTCCTGCGCCTGCAAAGGAAAGAGCACTTGCAATTGTTCGAGGAAACCCTCCAAATATCAAAGCACCTAATAATGAAGGGAAGCCGAGAGAGAATAGGACGGGTTCTCCAGTAACCACATTTCCATACAAATATTTTATGCATGTGAAAATATGCATTTTTTTGTTTAAGACGCATGTAAAATGTAGATAATCTTAAAAGCATTTTTCTAATGCAGTTTCTCCTGTGCACTTTCAAGAGGGAATTGAAGTAACCCCATTTCTCACAGATGCTAATTAAGATACTTTTCTCTTTTACTGCTCTTGTTTAATATGTAACTTAGGACCAAAGGTTTATCAATCCCTGATCTGTTGGGCTGAAAGTACTTCCTTAGTAAATGTCTGTATTTCAAGATTCCTTTCCATCTGTTAGACGCCAATACCAGGCTCTGTGATTAAATTTATAGCTTACAATATTTGCTTTTATCTGTCTGGAAAAACACTTTTATATTTTTTGATCAGCTTATTTTCCTAGCCTGGCTTTTGGTCTATCCAAGCTCCTACTTCTTCTGGTCTTATATTTTAAGATTACTAAAAATGTTTATCTGTTGTGATTGGCAAGTGCAAATTGAAAATATAAACAGATGTCATTTCAAATTGGTATATAAGAGGGATAAAAAAGTACAGGCAAAAAATAAACCCCTTAGGGAGGTTCTACAGCTTGCTGATAAACTATTTCTCTCTTATAAAGTCTATATGCTGTTGTCAAGTGGAAAAAGCTGAATAACAGTGAGAGTTGATGCTTAATATAGAAGATAAATAGTTCTGCTGTCATTAATAAATTATTTTTATCATATGCTAATTTTATTAAGTGTCGTGCAGCTTTGTCATCCAGCAATAATTTTTTCTGGTTTGCACCACCAGCACCTCAAAAATAGCCATTCCTGCCCATCACCGTTCCTAAACTGTTGCTCTGCAGATGCTGATGAGTGTTTGGTCCCATGGTCTCTTCATCGTGCCCTGTACTGTCTCTGAAATCAATTCTAATGGGGATGCTCTTTGTTGTTGTTATCGCTAATGAGAACTGGGAGAGAAAGCTCTGCATTTAGTTAATGAGAATGCCATGGTCTGGGCAGAGCTGGAGAAGAAGTAGATTTGAGAGGTCGACCTTTGTAATGAATCAGAATGCTATCAACTCGCATCAGCTGTGATATGTAGGAGAGTTTAACAGCTCTGTGACATGCATGAGGTCAAAGAGCTGTATGCCTGTGAATTCTGCATGCTTAAAAATATACAGCAGTTTGCCTCTTATGGGAAAAATGAACTGGTTTTATAAATTCATGCTGTTGACCAAATTGTGTAATGGTAGGTAGGATTGAGAACTGGGACAAGAAAATATTTTTGCACCAGAACAGGCTCATGTTTTCAGTAGGACTTGAATCTGAGAGGTAGAGTAGGAACTGGTATGGCTTTGCTATTAGTGTGTCAAAACTAAGATACTCTAGGGAAATACCCAAATCTACATGCTAGCTTTGCCCCTAATCTTTTTCTCTTTGAGTAGGGCCAACCATGTCCTAAATTAACAATTTGCATCCTATTGAAGAGTGTGAGCATCTGTGATTTGCTTTATATAACAGAGCCGTGGGAGGGAATTTGAAGGTGGCTTCTTTATCATTATTTATAGACATGATGGGAGGAAGAAGTGAAAGATACCTGAAAACTGCAGCATACTCGGATTATTAGTTTAGCATACTTGGATTATTAGTTCATGACCAATTCCTAGTCCTCTGGAGCCGTTTTCCTAGCTAGTTCCCGTATATCATCTCATCCATGTGGAGGAAGAATGTGGAGGAAGAATGTGGAATTCCAGGGCTCAAGAGGCTGTAAGTAATGTGTGTGTTTGACATTTGGGTGAAGCCTCAACAGATAAGTGACTTCCGTGTTTTCCATGTTGCTTTGCTTTAGGTGCATTTGGATACAGTCCAGTTGTAGTGGGTGGTTTTTGGCAGAGCAGATAGACTTTGAGCAGCCAGGGTTATTACCAAAATTGAGTTGCACAATGGGAATTAAATAAAGGGCAGAGCTGGTTTGCTCACAGCAACTAACACAGGCATCTCAAAGTCTCCCCATATGGTTTACAGAAATGCAATAAAATTACTAATGAGAGCAAGCAGCACAGCTCTGGATTACTTTAAAAGCTGTTGAAAATGCGGCTATTGCTGAGGGACTGATATTTTTTTCAAGGAGTGACCCATTATAGCGAATAGAGTGATTCCTATTTAGTCTCCTTATCTTTCATGGATTCAGAAAGTGGGCCATAGCCAAAGATTTGATGACAACTTTTTGACGCAGGTTGTGGAGGAGCCGACGAGGAGAGGTGGGCTGCTGGACCTCGTACTAACAAACAGAGAGGGCCTTTTTGGAGATGTGAATGTGGGGGGTAACCTTGGCTGCAGTGACCACGAGCTGGTAGAGTTCAAGATCCAACGAGGAGGAGGCAGGGCAGTAAGTAGCCTTGCCACGCTGGACTTCAGGAGGGCCAACTTTAGCCTCTTCAGAGACCTGCTGGGAAAGATCCCATGGGCTAGGGCTAGAAGGAAGAGGGGTCCAGGAGAGCTGGTTAGTTTTCAAGCGGCATTTCCTCCATGCCCAGCAACAGTGCATCCCTGTGCGTAAGAAGTCAGGCAGAGGGGGCAGGAGACCTGCATGGATGAGCAGAGAGCTCCTGACAAAACTCCAGCAGAAGAAAGCAATATATAGAATGTGGAAAAAAGGACAGGCCACTTGGGAGAAATACAGGAATGTTGTCAGGGAATGCAGGGATGCAACAAGGAAAGCCAAGGCACAATTGGAATTGAATCTGGCACGGGATGTTAAGAATAACAAGAAAAACTTCTTCAAATATATCAATAACAAAAGGAAGGTCAGGGAGAACGTGGGTCCACTAGTGAATGGGGTGGGTACCCTGGTTACGGAAAACACGGACAAAGCAGAGCTGCTGAATGCTGCCTTTGCTTCTGTGTTTGTCAGGGGCGGCCCTCTAGAATCCCAGGCCCTAGGGACACACGAAGAGAGCCAGAGGGAGGAAGGCTTGCCCTGGGTAGAGGAAGAGTGGGTCAGAGAGCATCTAGGGAGAGTCGACACCCACAAATCCATGGGCCCTGATGGGATGCACCCCAGAGTGTTGCGGGAACTGGCAGATGTCCTAGCCGAGCCGCTCGCCATCATCTTTCAAAGGTCCTGGAGAACAGGGGAGGTGCCGGAGGACTGGAAGAAAGCCAACATCACTCCAGTCTTCAAAAAAGGCAAGAAGGAGGACCCGAGTAACTACAGGCCGGTGAGCCTCACCTCCATCCCCGGGAAAGTGATGGAGCAGCTCATCCTGGCTGCTCTCTCCAGACACATGGAGCAGAAGAAGGTGCTCAGGAGTAGCCAGCATGGATTCACCAAGGGGAAATCCTGCTTGACTAACCTGATCACCTTCTACGAAGGAATATCTAGCTGGATAGATGAGGGCAGAGCGGTGGATGTCATCTCTCTGGATTTGAGCAAGGCTTTTGACACTGTCCCTCACAGCATCCTCCTGGGCAAGGTCCAAAGGTGTGGGATAGATGAGTGGACGGGGAGGTGGATTAGGAATTGGCTCGATGGCAGGGTGCAGAGAGTGGTTGTCAATGGTGCGGAGTCCAGCTGGAGGCCTGTACTTAGTGGTGTCCCCCAGGGGTCAGTTCTCGGTCCGGTCCTGTTCAACTTATTCATTAATGACCTGGATGAAGGGCTGGAGTGCTCCCTCAGCAAGTTTGCCGACGATACCAAACTGGGTGGAGTAGCTCATAGCCCTGAGGGCTGTGCTGCCATCCAGAGGGACCTGGACAGACTGGAGGACTGGGCAGCGAGAAACCTCATGAGGTTCAACAAGGGCAAGTGCAGGGTCCTGCACTTGGGGAGGAATAACCCTGGACACCAGTACAGATTAGGGGTGGACCTGCTGGAGAGCAGTCCCGCAGAGAGGGACCTGGGTGTCATGGTGGACGACAAGTTGACCATGAGGCAGCAGTGTGCCTTGGTGGCCAAGAAGGCCAACGGGATCCTGGGGTGCATTAAGAAAAGCGTCTCCAGCAGGTCGAGGGAAGTGATCATCCCCCTCTACTCAGCCCTGGTGAGGCCACATCTGGAGTACTGTGTGCAGTTCTGGGCTCCCCAGTACAAGAGTGATGTGGAGCTGCTGGAGAGAGTCCAGCGCAGGGCTACGAGGATGATCAGGGGCCTGGAACATCTGCCCTATGAGCAAAGGCTGAGAGAGCTGGGCCTGTTCAGCCTGGAGAAGAGGAGGCTGAGGGGGGACCTGATCAGCGTGTATAAATACCTCAAGGGAGGCAGTGAGGAGGAGGGGGGCGGCCTCTTTTCAGTGGTGGGCAGGGATAGGACTAGAGGAAATGGCTTCAAACTGAAGCATCGGAAGTTCCACAGGAACTTAAGGAAGCATTTCTTCACTGTGAGGGTGACAAAGCACTGGAACAGGCTGCCCAGAGAGGTTGTGGAGTCTCCTTCTTTGGAGATCTTTAAAACCCGCTTGGATGCAGCCCTGTGCCACGTGCTCTAGGTGACCCTGCGTGAGCAGGGGGGTTGGACTCGATGACCTCTGAGGTCCTTTCCAACCTTCGGCATTCTATGATTTGGATTGCTCTTTTCACTCTACCTCTTTTATTATCCTCATCATAAATTTCTTCGAGATTGGAGTTTGAAATCACAGCACAGTTTGGCCTGCTGTATTTTAAGATTAGCTGGAAGATCCACTGCTTTTTATTCCCTAATCATGCACAAATAAAAAGTAGATGGTCGCTGGTGGAAATGGAAAGGTGCATCTGTCTTGCTGTCTGTCAATCAACAACATGCCCTGTGGCACAGTCAGGGGAAAGTATTTGATTTGTTATTGACATATCGCCCAAAGAATTGAATTAACGTGTGTCTGAGGAATAGAAAAGTAAGCAGATTTTCTAGGCTTTGGGATCCAGCATGCTGTGGAGTTAGTAAAATGGGATAAGATAGTAAGTTAGTTAGTGGGTGGGGGCCTTATGGCTCAGAGCCTTGATGTTTAGTGTGCGGCTTTCTCTCCAGTGCTGCAAAAGCCTTGTAGGGGCTTAACATATTTCACTATAATAATCAAGAGTTTTGTCACCAGCATGAGGAGAAAGGTCTTGATTTTTCCTGCTGCTTGCCCAAGAGCAGACCCAGGTTATCACACTGCGGCTTATAGGAGTGTGCACATAGAACAAAGCCTTACATCGGCCTTGAATTTGATCCAGGGTTAGTAGGTGTCAGTGTTTTATCCCCTTCAGAGGTTATTTGAAGAAAACCAAGCAGAATTAGAGTCTGTAACTCAGTTCCCTTGAAAAGTGAAGTTT